TACAAGTATAATAGATAAAAATGACAAACTAGAATGATAAACGATACAAACCGAATTGATAAAAAATCACAAAACAGACTTACAAACGTTACAAAATAGTTTGACAAACATTACAAGGATGGCCATGCTGGGATAATTCCCAAGAGAAAAATGGCCCATCGGCGGAGAAAAGGACCAGCCGTCGGGAGAATTCGCTAGGAAAAAAATGCCTATGCCATCGGAGATGAGGACCGATCGTTGGGAGCTGGTGCTGCAACACTAGTCCGTGGTGGACCATATTTTTTTATTTTAATTACTAAATAAAAATTAAATAATATTGAAATTATTTCATTATCGTTCATTAAATTGAATTAATTGAAACAATTAAATTTTAATAAAATGTAAAGATTGAGATTCATTTAGTCACCGGATCTTAGCACCTCCACCTCCAGAGAGCGTATCCGGTGACTAAGAGGGGTGCTTAGTCACTTGACTAAGCCCCTCCCAGCCCTTAGATCTGCACACATCAATCTGATGGTTAAAAAGTGGGAATGGCTATTTAATCAATGACAGGGGTAGTTTGGGTATTATGGAAAATTACGAAGTATACAAACCAGACTTAGAATCAGTACAAACCATACAAACATACGAACAATACAAACTAGAGCGACAAAACATACAAACAGATTTACAAACATTACAAACGTATGAACTGTACAAACAATACAAACTAGACCGACAAACCATACAAACCATACAAAAAGAAAAAACCAACCGGGTTGACTTTGGAGGCTCCATCCCTATATAGAGGGGCTCCTTCCCAAAGTCAACCCGGGTGTTATTTAGACATACAAACAGTACGAACATGGTGGACAAAAATGACAAACTATACCGACAATCCATACGAACTGAAAAAACACCCGGGTTGACTTTGGAGGCTCCATCCCTATATAGAGGGGCTCCTTCCCAAAGTCAACCCCGGTGTTTTTAGACATAAAAAACATTACAAACATGGTTGACAAAAATGATAAACACGATACACAAAAATAACAAAGTTTACAAACATTACAAAAAAAACCGACAAACATTACAAAATAACAAAGCGTACAAACATTACAAAAAAAAAAACGACAAACATTACAAAATAAACCGACAAACAATACAAAGCATACTAACAGTACAAAATCTCTCTCTCTCTCTCTCTGTTGTTGGGCAAAATCCCCAGGAAAAGGAAAAATGGACATGCCAACAGATTCCGCTGGCCGCTGGGAAAATAAAGAATGGCCACAAGGCCATCACGTCCCGGCGACGGATCCGGCGAGGGGCCGCTGGAATTTAAAGAAGGCCGATTAAAAAGCCACCGCCGAGAAGAGTAATCGCTAGTGGGCCCACAACATATTTTTATTTTAATGATTAAATAAATAACTTGTATAATTACTACAATGTCCTTCATTAAAATGAATTAATCTGAACCATTGGATTTTAATGAGGTGGAAGGACTGAGATTGACTTAGTCATGTGACTAAAGCCTCCCACTTAATCACCTGATCCTAGCCCCCACCTCCACCTGCATAAGCACAAACTAGCATTGGGCCCGGCCCGTTGGCCGGTGGGGTTCAAAGATAATTATGAGAGGGTTGCGAAGGAAAATTGGAAACAATTTCAAGTCCACATTCATATTTGCCTACAGCTCCTTGAATCTCGATTAATCTAACTTATGCCTTTTATTAGTTGAGGCAGTATTGAAACTTCATCTGCCACTGCAATTCCGCGAGGCACACTGTTGCTGCAGAGTTCATTAACCCATTAGCCAAAGGAGATTTGAGAAAGACAAATAGGATCAATAAGTTGTTGCTGGGGTTTAGTAATTTAGAACTAATACCATATATAAAGCTGAAAGCACACAAATGGATGTGCTGCTTAAACCCAACTAAATTAATTCAGTAATAATGGTAAGATCAAACCCTATTGTGGCTAGCAACAGTCGAGTCCTTTGATATCACAAATGGATACACATGTATCTATAAATAGTTAAAAACGAAACCAAAGCACAACTAATTTACTTCTAAAGATACTGCAGCGGATTGACTCAACAGAATGGCCAAAGATGATTGTAGAAAGTATATTGCAGCAGCCTGGACCCCAACAAATTGCTCATGGGCCTGATGGAAATAAATAGAAACCCACGGCTAATGGTAGTGAATAAATAAAAAAACAATTGAAAGCGGAAGACAGGAATTGCAAAGGAAGTTGTGGATTAACATGATCAGAATCCTCACAGTTATAATGAATTCCTTGCTGAAGCTGTGATCCAGCAGTTTCCCTTGTGCGGCAGCTGCCAACATTTTATTTGACATCTCAAACGTTTAATTCCTAACATGTCTGTTAACATTGACGATTCTCCACACTTTGAACACCTATTCATATCTTAGCATTCAAAATTGGGTTCACATTAACAAATCAGCTCTTGGAATGGTAGTAAAAGAAAACCAAACATCCAATGCATGTAAGTTTTGAAACCCACATTAAATAAACACACCAATTCCATAAAGGTCACTTGAAAAAGAAGTAAACTGTTTTGAGTATAATGTTTAAGCAAACACACCAAACCCAACAAAACTTATTTAGAAAACATGTCAAATGTTTGAAGACTACACCATTTTTTCTTATAAACCATTCTGCTCAAAATCATCAATCTATTCATGATTCCCAAGTTTCCATAATCAAACATTGGCTACATGCTTCTACTCACCAACCAAGACCATCAACTTGCCTGTCAAAACTGTAAACACGCAGATGTCAGTTGCGAACTTAACTTATGGAACAACCATAGCTACAGCTCCCTTTATGTCAATAGTGTATAGTAGTATGTTGGTAGCTGGTGGCAAATTATTTCAAAAAAGAAGCTAATTTGACCAGATCATCTAGTATCAGGCAGTTGAAAGATGAATATAGCTTTGAAAGGAAAAATTCAAACGGTAAGAAAGAATTATACATCTTACAAACCATTCCACTGAAACCAAGAATCTATTCACTATATGCATCACCGTCATGGTTATCTCCATCTCATAGACAACATAGTAGTTACTTATTATGACCCATACAGTCGTTTCTTATCTATTTATCAGGTCTCTTCAACCATCCATTATCCTATTTGAGGGATGCACCCAGTGTTTTGTGTTGCTTCTCTTTATTATCAATAAAATCAAGTTGTTTTATATGAAAAGAAGTCATTCTGAAGTAATTTTGAAGTTCTAATTGTATTATTGATTACGAAAAATATATAATATATACCTTAGCCTACACAACTTTGTTGATTCTTACCTATACTGCTTTCTTGGAAGTGTCTGTTTTGAGGGAGTTTCCATTCTATCCTCACGTGGTAGGCAGTTCCTGTAGCCAGATTCTTACCTATATAAAATCAAGTTGTTTTATATGAAAAGAAGTCATTCTGAAGTAATTTTGAAGTTCTAATTGTATTATTGATTACGAAAAATATATAATATATACCTTAGCCTACACAACTTTGTTGATTCTTACCTATACTGCTTTCTTGGAAGTGTCTGTTTTGAGGGAGTTTCCATTCTATCCTCACGTGGTAGGCAGTTCCTGTAGCCAGATTCTATGATTTTGTAGCAGTAGGAGCTCTTGATTGCACAATTGTCTCCCTCCCAATCTTTTCTTTTCTTTGTTTCATTTTGCTGATGGTTTTCACACCTTGTCACCTCCTCGGCTCCTGGTGGATCTCCTTTGTGTCCTTTTCTGCATCCATTAAGTTTGCAAGTTCACTTTCCATCAAAAGAATATGATATGTATATAAGAGCTAGCCATCATACAAACCATTCTACCGAGGAAGAATAAGTTACTCACAGAGATATCAAGGTAACATAACTATACAAAACATAAAACCATGAAGTAAAAGTTGAGGCATAACTTGATAACCCCTTAGAAGCAATAAGCCTACAGGTTGCAGCTTATAGTCACAGAGTTTCATATTGATGTTGTCCAAAAGTGATACACAGACTACCTGCAGGCAAGAAAAACAGAAAATCTAACTTGGAGTTGTGACAAACACATAGACATTAAATGGTGATGTAATCAACCAAACAGATCCATAACATTTCCAACTTCAAATCCAAAGCACAGAAAATCAGTACGCTTCTGTAGAACATAGCCGGTAACACGTAATAGTTACAAATTGGATTGAATGCCCATTAGAAAAGTAAAATTAAATGGAAGAAAAGGAGCACAGAAATCCCATTAACATATTCTGCGAAACTGAAATACACAGAAACCAAACTGAGGGAACTTACAGGAACATGAAATATTGCTCATATTAGGCTCTATGAGATGTTTCTCGATTTGCAGCGAGACAAAAAGTGAGAGCGAGAGAGGCGGGTTACCTGGGATGGCTTGGCAATACTTCGCCGCTTGAAAGAGAGTACGGAGCGGGACGTATGGGACTTCGATTTCCGGTGAGACAAACAGTGAGAGCGAGAGAGGCGGTTGCCCATAACTGGGATTACTTCGCCGCTGGAGAGAGAGTATAGAGCGCGGGGGATGGATGGACTGCAAGAGAGACAAATCGACAGCAGGTGGGAAAAACACAGACGACGACAAAGCAGATCGACAACAAAACACCGACGGCCAGAGCAGGAAATACAGAGATGATCGTACTTCGATTAAGTGAGAGGTCTTCGAATATTGTGTTGGATAGCAGTGACTCGATATCCGGTGGGGCTTGGAATACAGAAGCGGTTGAGACGGCGAGACGCAAGAGAGAGGGGTAGATCTTCGGTGAGAAATTGGAAGACAGAATGCTTGAAAGAGAAGGTTTAGGGAAATTACCGGAAAGACCATCCGAATTGTGCGGCGATTTCAGCAATGGCTGACGTGGCAAAAGCTGTATTTTGACATTGGCTTATAGTAATTGGTAGATGACGTGTTTGGTGGAAAAAAAAACTTCCTGCCGTAAATTCTTTTCCATCTATATATTTCCATAAAAACCCACAAGCTTACAGCACCCTGACACTGGCCACCTCAGCCAGGCCAGGATAGTTTTGTCATTTACCATCTATCCAGAAGCTTCTCTCTCTCTCTTCAAAAGTGGTATGTTGTGATCTGATATTGACATGTGTTGGCACACTAGCAAGTCCTAACACATAAGACTTGCAACCTTAGTTAGGGATGCCCGTCGAGGGCCCAGGGACCGAAGGCCCATGAAAAATAGTATCGCGTCGGGGATTGGTGGATGAGTTCGAATATGATGGTGTTATACTCTGCTACCATGGTTAGAGAGCCACTAAACGACTTGTTGTTGATGGAGTCAACCCACCGAAGAAGTATTTCTGATGTTGGATGTACGAGTACGACAATGATAACGGGTGTGGTTTTCACATGGATTGGGACGAAGTAATGTTCCCCGCTTTTTCATAGTCGTATGATGAATATAACACCGAGGAGACCGTGAAGAAATGAATTAGTATTTCCTGTCATCAATTTGTATTGTGTTGAGTTTGGCTTATAGTAATTGGTAGATGACGTGTTTGGTGGAAAAAAAAACTTCCTGCCGTAAATTCTTTTCCATCTATATATTTCCATAAAAACCCACAAGCTTACAGCACCCTGACACTGGCCACCTCAGCCAGGCCAGGATAGTTTTGTCATTTACCATCTATCCAGAAGCTTCTCATCCCCGATATCTCACGTCCCGGTTTCCGGTTAAATATAAAGCCTCTCGCCCTCTTCACAACTTAAGAAGTTATCCGATTGCCCTGCGCTTTTGAATAGGTTTCTCCCGGAGATTGCTGAATCGTTGGACGTCGATCGCTTGCTTTCCCGGCCACGGTACGTCGACGATCCCATTTAGATAATTTCTTTTTTTGGGCTGTGGAATTAAGATATTCGTTTCATCTTCATTTTCTTCTGGGGATTATTCGAGTTGGAAAGCCATGATAGATTCGGGTCCCTTAAATTCATGGCGTTTTGATTTTTCTTTTTTCCTGCGTAGCTGAACGTTGGGTTTTCTCCCCTGGTATGAGAATTCCTTCTTTTTCCTTTAAAGAGTTTCTGAATTCTGTATAAAAAAATGAGTTTCTGAATTTGCATGATAAGGATTAAGGATTGATGGATTTAAGGTTTTTCCCATTTGTCAGTACACGACTTTCATCACGATCATGATGAGCGCCAATTTAGTTGGTAGGGATGAGTTAGTTGTTGTTGGTTTTACCGAATTCCATTCGCGCTCGACAATTGTAGCGGAAGGATTCGAACTTTTAGGTGTTCTGTACCATTCTGGTTTTGGTGCACGCGGGGATGATGCATGAGACATTTGTTTATTCTTCCTTCTCAGATGTCTTACTCTAAGAGATCAACTTATTCTCGCTCGCCGTCGTCGTACAAGCGATACGGCAGATCTGTGTCCAGGTCTTTATCAAGGTCAAGAAGCCGATCAAGGTAATTACTGCAGTGGGTCGGTTTAACTGCTTTCAATTGAATGGTTTTCTCGGGAAGTCTTGAGGTTAACGGTGACATTGTGGTTCGCAGGAACCCCTCTGTGGAGAACACTGGCAACAATCTCTATGTGACAGGCTTGTCGCCTCGTATCACAAAGAGAGACCTTGAGAAGCACTTCTCCACTGAGGGAAAGGTATGTAAAGCACCCTAGTTATCATGGAGGAAGACACCCCTTTGGTAGTTTTTGTTAGCTTCATAAGCCTGTTACAGTCGAGAGTTCTAACTATCGTCGCACTGTCAATTTGTCATGGATAGGTGACTGATGTTCATCTCGTTGTTGATCCATGGACGAGGGAGTCTCGTGGTTTTGGGTTTATAACGATGTCTACAGTTGAGGAAGCTGAGCGCTGCCTTAAGTATTTGGATCGATCAGTGCTTGAAGGCCGTGTGATAACAGTGGAGAAGGTAAAGTTTGCTGTCGTCTGTTCCTGATGCTCAACGTCTGTATATAGCAAACTAAATCTTGAGTCTCGGTGCTGGGTTTTCTGGATGGTGTTACTTATTAGCTATTATGACTTTGAAAGTTGTTTGCTCCTTTTGTCCGTGTGAAGCTTTTGTGCCAACAGGTTAGCTGTGTGTAGCAGCTCTTCTCCAAATTCAAATAGCACAACTAAACACAAATCAAACACAACAGCAATGTCAGACTGTGTTAGGGTTGTATGCCCTTAATTTCTCTCCTCATTTTGGCGCTTTAGCTTATCTGTTTTTTCGTTTATTCTCTAATTTTTTAGAAGAGACATTATTGGGGGAGTGGGAAGAAAGGCCCTTCTCCTTCATTATTCTCGTTGTGTATGTGTGTATTGCTAATTTCGTCACACATTTGTCATGGTAACTAATTGCAGGCAAAGAGGCGGAGAGGCAGAACTCCTACTCCTGGAAGGTATCTTGGACTTCGCACAGTGCATGGTATGACTGGTAGTAGCACAACTATCATTGATTTTGTATTATCTTGAGGTTGTTTAAAGTTGATGCTTTTAGACTGGATTACATAAGCTTTTGTTCACTCTACAGTGCGAAGGAGAACCATTAGCACCTCACCTCCTCGTCGGTCCCCAAGTTATTCTCCTTATCCGAGAAGCAGAAGCAGAAGCAGGTCTACATCTTATTCATCTGATGGCAGTAGGAGCAGATCTTATTCTCGTCACCACAGCAGGCTTCGAAGATCGTATTCTCGATATCCTGCTTATTATTACAGGCGCAGGAGATCCTACTCTCGTTCACCACCAGTGTATTACTATGCACGCAGAAGATCTTACTCAAGATCTCCATCACATTTCAGTAGGTCCTCCGTCAGGAGATGGGACAGATCTTACACACCTTATGATTCACGATATAGCTCACCAGATGATCGGTATGAAAGAAGACGAGGACACTCTCGCTATGTTTCTGAGAGGGAGAGGAGTTCATGGAGAAACTATACAAGCAGCGTCTCTCGCAGCCCAATAAGGCGATTCAGAAGGGAGCATTATTCTCGAAGTATTTCTAGAAGCCCGAGAAGGTACTCATACTCGAGGAGGAGGAGCTACTCCCCAAGTGTTTCACCGGCAGCAAGGAGGAGCTCGAGTAAAAGTGTATCATCCGAGAGTTCCAGTTGGTCTTCGGAAGGCAGTTATGGCCGGGATAGGAGTTCCAACACTTCTTCTAGTCTGGCTGCTAGTTCTAGATCGGTTTCTAGGTCAGTGAGCCCCAGTTCTACTCCATCGTCTTGAGAAGAAGTGGAAGTTTAGCTCATTGGTGTGGTGATGTTTTTTGTTTTGTGAGAACTTGGGACTGCTTTGCTAGGGAGTATTGCTGCTTGCCCGTTTATGATAATAAAATGCATATGATTCCTTGTTGGGGTCATATATTGGTGCAATACTTTCTTTGAATTATGGAATGTTGCAAGGGATCGTCTCAACTTCAACACAATAGGAGGGGTCGTTCGGTTTTGGAAATTGGGATATTGTAGTTCAAATCGTTTGGTTTTTGTGACAGTTATTGTGTTATTTAAATAAGTTACATTACTTTTTATGTTATTTAAATAAGTTATATTATTTTTGGGTGAAATGTCACTTGTATTTTTTATTTTTAATATAAAAAAGCAACATATAAAAAGGTAAGGACATAGTTGGAAGAAAATAAAGCACAACATTATCAATCAAACAATCTCATTAAAAACTTGAGATTTAACTATCACTCATTTTGAGTGATAATTTGCGTCAAATCAAACAAACAATGCATGTATTATTTGTCTAGAAAATTCAAAAAAACGATGTATTGTCTCAACCCAACAATCACCAAAACCAATCGACCGCAAAGTAACAAATATATTGAAAGTGAGGATGATTTAATGTAATTTCTAGGTTCACAGGAATTAGGGTTTTCAAAATGGAATTTGGGGCCGCAGCAGCCGAGAAGAAGGCTCTCCGCCTGATTGGAGAGGCCATTGGCGGAGCAGGGAGAATCTGGGATAGTCATCCCACCAAAGTCTCCGACCTTTGAAATTTGGAACTGGTTTGTGGGGACAGGTTACGGTAATTACTACACTGTGCCGTGGTTACTAAGGGTAAATTGGGTATGGAAAAATAAATTATATTAATTAATTTTTTAATAAATTACATTTAAGGTAGTTACAAAAATCTATTAATTAAAATTCTCTCTCTCTCACTTCCGTAATCTCCAGCCAGATTTCCTTTCCATATTTTTCTCAATCTTTCTACAAAAAAAAAAAAAACAACGAAATCAGTACCAATCCATTAGACAAACACTACCACTTTGAAAAACATCAATACCATTGCAGAAATAAATCTATACCATTACACGAAAACTACCATTGCAGAAATAAATTTATACCATTACACGAAAACTACCAATATAAACAAAATATATCATAAACAATCAATACCATTGTAGAAATAAATCTATACCATTACACGAAAACTACCAATATAAACAATCTATACCATAAACAATCAATACCATTGCAGAAATAAATCTATACCATTACACGAAAACTACCAATATAAACAATCTATATCACTGCACATTGAATCCATAAACGAAAACTACCAATATGTCTATTTGGTTAGTATGTAGTGATGGTAGAGAGAGAGAGAGAGAGAGAGAGAGAGAGAGAGAGAGAGAGAGAGAGAGAGAGAGAGAGAGAGAGAGGGTACCGAGGGTGGTCGGGGGCTGCTGTCGGCGGTGGCCGAGGATGGTCGGGGCTGCTGTCGGCGGTGCGACGGGAGTGGTACGTAGAGGCGGTTGCGACGGGTTTGGCTAGAGGGAGGATAGAACTAGGGTTTAGGTAGATTATATAGAATAATCAGGTGTAGTCACTTTTAAATTTCCAAAATTACCCTAAAAGAATCTTGACCGTAAGATTAAAAAAGAAGGGAAAATAATTAATCAAATGATATATAAAGAGGTTGCCACCGTGATTACTAAAAAACAAGTAATCACCCTAACCCATTCCCTAGTTTGTGCTCATTGTTGACACCCGCCGAAGTCTGCTCCTGCCTCCGGCGACGAACAATTAAGTGCTAGTAGAGTAGCGGTGTTGGAGGTATAGTTGTGCAGTGGAGGATTATGTGGAGTCGGTGTTGTCGAAGATGACGATGAACGGCGCTGAGCGGCCGGGGTAAACGAAGAAGAGGAGATGCTCGATAATCAAAGGGGAGGGTAAGAATTAGGGATTTACGGCTGAGGCAAAAGAATGAAAGATAAAAATGAATAGTTGTTGTTACTTTTAAAATTATGAAAATTAAACCAAAATTATAAGAATGTCAAATTAGTCATTTTATATCACATTTAACGACTATTTAACAGAAATCTTGATAGAAGAATATGCTTGTTACGTATCAATAATAGAAGGGCACATTTGTGCAAAAAAATAGTATAAGGGTATATTTGTTAATTTGCAATAGTAAAGGGGCATAAAAATGCTATTAACCTTTTATTTATTATTACTTTTTATATAAGGGTGATATAAGGTCTTTTTAGTAGTTAGTGTGTCAGTTTTTTAGTAGTGTTTTTTATTTATTTGCGAGTGATAGAGAGGACAAGAGTTATATAAACAAAACTATATAGTAACACCCTAAAAATGGCATCCTCATGAAGCCAGTCAATAAAATCGAAAGACTCTAATTCTAGGAGAAACAATAACAAATTAGCAATGCTTTAAGTGCCACTTTGTTAGCAGCACTGTTAGCGACTCTAGGAACCGTCTTAAACTCTGAATAGTGTTTGCTGCATACTATTTCTTCACCATTTACTTTTCGATGATGTTCTTGTGCATGTTGAGAGACAGGGTCCAACATAACAGGGGTCCAACATAACAGTCCATAGCATTTGTAGCTTGTCCAGAAAGTGGCTACTGTCTCTTAGCAGAATTACAATTATTAGGTATAGGGAGTGCATTCTCGACCATGGCTAGTTCTCACTTGTTAGTTTGGCTTCGGCTTGTTCTTCATCTCTTTTACTGGTGTTTTCTGCACTAATGCTGCTTACTACACGGTGCGATTTATCATGCACCGAGTTCGTTGCTCTCTTTTCCTCCTTACTGCATTGATAAGTATTCCTTTCATTGCCGAGAGATCTGAGTATTAGGATCTGTCGACTGACGTTTCACATTGCCAGCCTTGGTTTTCAACCGTCTGCAGAAGAGATCTCATCTCATCTATTTTAATTGAGTACGAAGGAATTTATGTTTCCACAAGAAATACAAACAAATATATGAACTCGTAACACATGAAATGCTTAGACAACAATGCATGAGCGAAATCAGGCTTATTACTATTATTATGTATACGTGATTAATTCCACTTGTTCCATTTTCCTGTCGATACTGTCTTTGCTCCTGCTACACGCTTCCATCATATAATACACCATTGCGGTTGGGTGTATAGAAAGAAGAGCTTGTGATTGCATGAGCCAAATGTATGACTCTTGGTAGAGCATTGACAGCGGCGAGATCTATCTATGGCACTCGGCATCCTTCAATGTTCCAGATCTCCTTGGCATACTGAGCAATTGTACGGTCGCTGCTGAACTTGCCGCTGCCAGCAGTGCTCAATATGGACATCCTCAGCCACTTCTTCCGATCCCTGCCAACAGAACATCACCCATTATTCCCCGCTTGACAATGACAATCTTCAAAGATAAAATGGGTATTGACATATAGCAGCTAATTATTATTTCTCCTTACATGTATGCTTTGTCCACCCTTTCCTGGGCGTCCAGGTAGCTTGGGAAGTCTTGTCCAACGAGGAAGTAGTCACCACGACCATAACCAGAGTTCCCTTCAAGGGAATCCAGAAGTTGGCTGTAGTCATACTTCCCAAATGCTCCACTTCTTATGTACTGCTTGGCCTCCTCAAAGCGAGGGTCTGGCTTGAACTGTGTGAAGAATCAAAGCAATTCAAAAGTTAGAGAAGATAAATGAGAGTTTGACGACAACAAAGATCAGCAGGGTTCTTTTGTTTACTTTTCCATTCTCTCTATCCTTTCTCAGGTTAGGGACTTGATCGGCTGTTGCACCAAAGAGGAAGAAGTTATCCTCTCCTACTTCCTCCCTGATTTCAACATTAGCTCCATCCAGCGTTCCGATAATTAGGCAGCCATTCAGGGCGAATTTCATGTTGCTTGTACCACTCGCCTCCATCCCTGCAGTGCTGATGTGCTGTGAAAGCTCACTCCCTGGAATCAGCATCTCAGCAACCGACACATTGTAGTTTGGAACAAATACAACCTGGATGTGGAAAGCCATTCATAGAATATCAATCAAGCATATGCCAAACGAATTTTTCACTAATGATTTTGTTTCACACTCTTAAGAGCTTCAGCAGCATTGTGTTGTCAGATTCAACTAGGTTTTCATTTCAAGGTCTCAATGGTTCCATAAAGTTGAAGACTAGAAAAATTAAATTACCTTGAGATATTGATTGACTTGAGGATCAGAATTGACAACTTCCCCAACATCATATACAAGCTTCACTATTCTTTTAGCATTTGTGTATGTTGCAAATGCTTTTCCTCCAATCATGATTGTTCGTGGAGTTGAAGTCGTTCGCTGTTCCTCACTCATTTCCTGCACATACAATTAATTATCTCATGGTTAACTTGGAAAGGGAAAAACTGCCATTCCCCAAGCTTCACGTCATTTCTTGTTTACAGCTTATAACATTATCATTGTTTCACGAAATAGCATGTTTCAACTTTCCAAGACGAGCAAAGGGTTTAAGCTAAATTAGAATTGCATCATCAGATCGTAAATTCCTTTGCCCCGATCCTACCCATCACCAAATAAACAGTACTTGCAGTTCTAGTCATCCAACTTCGAGGCATCAATAAAGTAATCAAGACTACACATGACACAGCCAAGGAAAGATGTCACTCTAACATCCATTCAGCAGGGACTGTAATTTACTGTCTTCTATAGGCGCGTGCTCTAATAAAGCCTACACTATTCTAGCAAACGTGCAAGTTCGACCTGATGAATGCCACCCACAATGAGCACAAAGTTCAAAGTGAGACATGCCTTCTTCATACCTTAAGTTTCTTATAGCGATAGACTGCACCCAAAATATTCAGCAGTTGTCTCTTGTACTCGTGGATACGCTTCACTTGAATATCAAAGAGGCTATTTGGATCGATGGTCACTCCTGTGACTTTTTTTACATACTCTGCCAAGCGTTTCTTACAGGCCATCTTAGCAGCTGCCCATTCACCTTGGAAGCTCGCATCATCTGCAAACTATTTTTTGCAAACCTGATTAGTAGCAATCCAGCCAGTATCACGTATAGAAATCCACAGTAGCCTATCGTACATGTTTAAATACTTACTTTTCTAAGGCCAGAAAGCTCGTCAAGGTCAGTTACCCACTTGTCAGACTTTAACTGCTTTGTAATTAAGCTACTGAGTTCTGGATTGCAGAAGCGAAGCCATCGACGAGGTGTAATTCCATTAGTTTTGTTCTGGAACTTATTTGGCCAAATTGTGAGATAGTCCGCGAATAGCTCCTTCTTCAAGATGTCGCTATGTAGCTCAGCAACACCATTTACCTAATAAAGTCAGTGTCACTAAGATTTCTTGCAATGAGCTTGAGGAATATAGATGTGAGAAATACTGGCATCCATTTCCTAGGATTCGTGATAATATAACAGTGATCACGAGGGTGATTCCAGTCAGAAATTTGAAAATGGCGTTTGAAGATGAGCAGCTTCTTGAGATAGGAATAAGAAGTACTGTTCATAAAAAGGATTGAATTAAAAAACCACAACATAGGCGAGTTCAAATAGATCTCTTACTGTATGTGCAGTTACAACACATAAATTGGCCATCCGGACGACTGGTTTTTCGGCATTGGTATCCAACACACGCAAGCTGGGAAGTATCTTCTCAAGTTTTGGGAATTTTTCACGCACCGTTCCCAAGAACTGCAAAGGATTTATACCATTCAAAATTCCAAACAGCATATAGAGATCCAAGGGAGGATGGTAAAATTTGTTAAGCAATATACCCTCTTGTCTATCTCTTCTATGATCTCCATATGCCGAGGAAGGAGTTTCCACATCACAGCCTGGGACCACTTCTCTAGTGCTTCAGGGAGGACAGTGTGATTTGTGTATGAGATGGTTCTGGTTTGATCATAATGGGCAAAATTAGCTTAGTAGCCTCCACCATGAATATGCAGGGCAAGAAAGAAGATGCACATCAACAACACTAGGGAAGTTTGCCATCAGAAAAACAAGTTATATTTAGTAAGAGAGTCCACCCTGATGTCACATCCCAAGCTTCCTCCCAGCCAAGTCCTTCATCATCCATTAGCAAACGCATCAGCTCAGGGATCGCAAGAGTAGGATGAGTATCATTAAGTTGAACTGCAACCTTGCTCGGAAACTCTGACCATAGCCATGTCTTACTGGGCTTTCTCCTCTCTTTAAACCTCTGTATCATATCCTGTTAATGTGCAAGAAGCATGATAAACAAGCTTTCAGAGCAGGATATGCCACAGATGGAAGATCATCAGGAAACTAGAATTTATTTGGTGCAAGATAGCAGAGTATAGGAGTCGGCAGTGAGCATGCCTCAGATACAGAAGAAAAACAGCATCCAAACCTAGCAGACTCAGAATGCTCTGAGCCTAGAGGAGTCCTACTCCTGAATATTTTTGGGTATTTCCTAGAAGAGAAGCTGATAATAGTCAGGTTTAGTTCTCATATAACCCCCTGTAATTCATTTCCCCCGCCAAATCAAAGTGGTTTCCTATTATCTTCAAGTCGAGGTAATGATTAAAATAGGGTGGCTCATCATCATTTCAGATATATGATTCCAACTGAATCCCTCAACGCGTCCCCAAAGATTACTACGATACATCTTCCAACAATTATTTATATCTACCATACATCTGAACTCAAACTAGACCCAGCAAAGACTGTGGTTAGCTTAGGAGCCTGAGAAGATTGGATTAACCTTCGCTAAAACCGCAATAACTAAAGTACGACAACAATCAATTTGCTACCTGAAGAGAGGCACTGCAGAGGAAGAATTGCTGCTTCAGACGCAAAAGCTTGCCACTTTCTGTAGCATCTCCAGGATAAAGAACAGCACAGATCTGCGAACAAAGAATGGACAAAGGTCTGTTGACTGTGAACTGAAAGGAATGACACACCATTCTCACGGTTAATGTTATTTAGAGTTGAAGTCACACATCCTGCATATCTATCCCAATTCAACAGTTGGAAACCGACCTGTTCAGCTTGTGAATGACGTTGTGCAGCAGATACATAATTTCCTTCATTAAATTCAAATAGGTTGAAGTCAGCAGGAGAAGCTCTTGCTTCCCACAAACGAAGGCTGATAGTGTTCTTGGTTTTGTATCCAGGAATGGGGACATCATAAGCCAAAGCTTGCACCACTTCTCCACCAACCCATTTTCGGCTGTAAGAAAGAGAGAGCATAAATATAGATAACATATATGACATTTGAAGAGAAATAAAACCAAGAAACACAATCACAAAACAAATGAATCCAAGCGCAGTGTTGATATGCACTAGTGACATATTCTGAAAACTAAAATTCAGAGTTAGCACTCACGTTCCATCTCCATCAATCTGAACTTCTCCAAAGAATCTGACAGGGAAAACAACATCATGCCTAACGACTTCCCAAGGACTGAATTTCTGCACAAATTGCAATAAGATAACAGGTCAAACAATGAATTGATGCCAGTGCTAAAGTTTCTGTTTCTTCGAGTGACAAACCTCAAGCCAATCTTCAGCAGTTTCCTGTTGGCCCTCCTTGGTGATTCGCTGTTTGAACAGACCATACTTGTATCTGAGACCATATCCCCATGCAGGCAAATTCAAAGTCGCCATGGAATCCAGAAAGCAAGATGCAAGCCTCCCAAGACCACCGTTTCCAAGTGCAGCATCTTTCTCCTACAGAGGTTACATTTCGTATTCATCATCAGCAGGAATAGACTATCTAATAAATCACAGGACAGTTTAGGTAAAGTATATTCTCCTTTTTGCTCATACTTTAAGACGGGAAAGAAACTTGAAAAAAGCATTGACGGATACTAATTGACTCATGATAATGATTACCTGCTCCGTTATTTCTTCAAGCTGATGTCCCAGCTTGTCTAAAGCCTCAGCATATGCATTTTTAACGTCCAGATTCCCAATTGCATTAGACAAAGCACGTCCTTGAAGGTATTCCATAGACAAGTAGTAGGTTTGCTTTGGGTCAGCATTGTGAAAATGGAGATAGGTTGCGTTCCATTGCTGCAGAGGCCAAAGGATACACCAACCCATCTCAGCTACAGCATATCATTTGATTAACATCCATTTTATCATGCAAACACACAAGCTTGATCCACAAAGAACCATCAGCTCTGATCTAATTCTTGACAAAATGAGGAACCTTAATTCATGGGGAACGATTCAACTCAAAAATTGATTGAAAAATAGAAAGAGAATGAAGGAGATATCACCACTGTATCATGAAGCACAGATCAGAGAGCCGGTAGGTACATTTCCAGTGTTCAATTAGTAATGATAACCATACTAAATGTGCTTTTGGTATGGATTTGTTACCTGGAGGAGGCGATCCCTGATGCTCTCGGCGGTGGCGAAGTAGGCCTGCTCGGAATCAAACTTGAAAGGAGAGAAATGAGGGCTGTACTGTGCATGGTAATTCACATTGGAAGCAATCTCCGATGGCGAGTCCGACGACGGGAAGGCCGCCGCCGGGACGTTGGAGGACACGCCGTTGGGTTTCAAACTATCCCCCATTGCAATCCTTCAGCTACGCTTTAAAAAACAGAAAACCTCGTAAGTGCGTTTCCGCAATGCAAAGAAAAACAGAGGGGAGAGAGAGAGAGAGAGATAGAAAGGGAGGAAACCAAGTTACAGTTGCGAGAGAAACGAAACGCTTTCACGAGAGGGCAGAGAAGAAAGAGAGTTATAATTAAAGGGAAATCGAATGGAGGGAAATTAGCTGTGATAAGATTAAGATAGGTACACTACTGGACTGAAGAGAAGAGGGAGGGAAGATATTTATAAGGCAAGTCTCTGTCACATGATGAGAAGAAAGAGCTCAACCAACTGAATGAAGGCAGACCGTGAATGGAGAATATGCGAGACGGAAGAGCCCCGATATTTTCTTTCCCGAGAAACAAACAAAAAACAGCACGGTGGTACTGCAGAAGAAGGTGAGCTCCACGCGACTGACTGTGCAAGTGGGGTGGGTTCGTTCCCGTTTCCATCTGCGCTTTTCGCTGTGCGATCTCTGCGAAGAAGACGACGTTGAGGGAGGAGAGAACACGTGCAGTGGCTGCATCGAAGAGCGAGGCGCCCGCCACGGCATGGCTATGGCTTCCCCGATCCCGAGCCTCAACGTGGATGGCCATAACTCATTCAAACAGCTATCCCGACGATAATTGAACGAAATAATGACCAAATTTCCAGAGCCAAAGAATATATATAAACAAGGAAGGAGTCTACTCTTGGAATTTGCAGTCTCAGACATCAATCAATCGTGGCAAGTTTCAGGGGTAGAGAGAGGGCTAATTTTGTGGCAGAGGAGAAGGATTTGGAAACAAACAAACAAACCGTAACAAAGAATGTACAAGATTTTACTCCGTTTTCTCGACCTAACTAAAATTCTTTTCACCCTTTTCTCCTGGTTTCATTCTCAAGCAGAGATGAACCTGGGGTTGTCACCATGATCTTCGATCCCAAACGTTGTTCTCCGCGTCTCGTCCGGGTACCTCCTGGGGTAATCTGCAGACTGGAACGGAGGAGGAGCAGCAGCAGAGGCAGAAGAAGAATGCAGAGCAGCTGCTTCTCTAAACTCCTTGCGGATTCTCCACAACACCTCTGCGCATTCCTTCATGGAAGGCCGTGACTGTCTCATTGTAGCCAGACACTTCTGGGCCAGTTTCAGGACTTCCTCTGCTGCCCGGTTCGATGCCGGGTTCCTCCTCAGGATCGGATCCATCACCATAATCGCATCACCGCCTCTGAGTCTCTGCATTGCCTGCATCAAACCCCAACCCAAAACGGAAGCTTTAATTTCAATTCTGTGTCCAACAACAATGTCTTGCCTTGGTTGGTTGGTTGGTTAGTTACCCATTTGATCGTGACCTTCTCTTTTACTGATCTCTTCTGGTCGATTGGCTGTCGCCCTGTGACCAGCTCAACGAGGAGGACACCAAAGGAGAAGACGTCGCTCTTTTCGGTGAGCGTATATGTTCGGAGGTATTCAGGGTCTAAGTAGCCCGTCGTGCCTTTGATCTGCGTTGAGATGTGGGTGTCTTTAGAATCTTCAGCAGCCAACCTTGCAAACCCAAAGTCTGCAACTTTGGCTCGAAGTTTGTCGGTGAGGAGTATGTTTGATGCTTTTATGTCTCTGTGGATGATTGCGCGATCTGTGTATTAGGAAATAATATGATAGAGTTCAAGACTCAGATGAAGCTCATGGCATATGACAATGAGCAAGCTACCTAACTAGATTTCCAGATTGAAGCGATAGGACTGAAGGGGGGTTCTTACCAGTGTACATGTGAAGATAGGTAATTGCGTGTGCCACATCAATGGCAACGTCTAGACGTTCAGCAATTTCGAGTACAGTTCCTCTTCTATCTGTAACAAACTAACCAACATTAGTCCATAACTTCAGGCACGTTTGAGCTACTTAAGCGATTGAAAAGTATCCCATTTCTTTCCTTTGTATCTTCTACAAAAATGTTCTGCAGAGGGGGGGACTTACTGTCGAGATGCTCTCGAAGGTTTCCATTGTTGACATATTCGACCAAGAGAATCTGCTCATCTTCGTGCTCGACATAACCGTACAGTCTCACTAGATTCAGATGCTCGATCTTAGATAGTGTCAGTATCTCGTTTCTGAACTCCGTTGTCAAACGCTTGTCCTGGGAATTCTGCCACAGCAGAAGTTAAAAAATTCATCAGTAAAAATACTGGGTAGATCTATCAAACTCACATGGGACTCGATCAGATGATCAATTCTTCGCTGTGCTTCCCAATTCGGGTATCAGGCCTTTGAAACTAAGGATTGATGGGAAAGAGGAGTGAAGTCTTTTATTTATTTATTTCCAGTACCTTTTTGCCTCGCTTGACGGCAACGAGAGACCCATCACTGAGCCTTCCCTTGTACACAGTGCCAAAGCTACCTTCTCCAATCTTGTTAGCCGCAGAGAACTTGTCGGTAGCCTTAACAATCTCTTGAAGGGAGTAAGTCTGCGTCCCAAACACACCTCCTCCTCCTCCGCTTATAGTACTAGTACTGTAGGATCCGTAAGAACTGGAGGACTTCAATCTGGAGGTGCTCTTGCTGCTGTTGCTTACCCTTGACAGATCGCTTGAGACTGCAGGGAAATAGCAGACGAGACATACATGCTTCAGTGTTAGAAAAGTCAGGTGATGATTGATGTGAAGTGAAGTGAGACTTACAATAAGATCCCGTGGTGGTGCTGGTGCTCCTGCTAGCGAGATTGACGGTGGCGGCGGTGGAACGATCACTCGGTCGTCGGCCGAGGAAATTTGTGAAGACTCCGGCTACCTTACCAGCTGCGGCTTTCACGAACTTGAGCAATGAAGAAGGAGAAGACTTGCCCTGATCGCCATTCTCACGCTGGGAACGATTGATCTGCTGCTTCTTTTTAGAGTTGGCCCTCCTCATCGCGATGCCTTACTAATTGCTCCGCAGCTTGCTTACATTTCCATCATCGTGATAAGGCGTTGGTTTAGGAGGTGGGGAGCAACGGTAGGCGTTTGTGGGGATTGTATATTGAATGCTGCTTTCACTTCGTCATTACTTTTCTCCCCTTGTTTTCAACTTGTTAAAGGCGGGGACTTGTTCTACGCAAAACAAAACGACGGAGTCTTCGGACCTTAACTTGGCGCTAGGTCGACTGGACTGGAGTACCTCGCACAAGACAAGACACGGCGTTTACAAGACAAAACAGTTTTTAAGGAAAAACAAAGCGGAAAACAACTACCAAGTAAACGCACTACCGAGTCAAACCCATCAAAAGTCCCCCAATTATACAGCTTGTTTTATGCTCCCAGCTCAGCTGTTGTCGACCCTCTCAATGCACAACTGTGGAATTTGACACTTACCAACCGCCATCTGAGCTGTTTATGCTCAATAGCTGGAGCCTCCAAGAGACCTCTCTCCCTACCCTATCTATCCATCTTCGACTAGCTAGCTCCTGGAAATGGCAACAATGTGGTTCGACAATCGTGAACATGAAGCGTGGTGAAGTCTCGTTACAAATGGATCAGAGACTTTCATCTGCTGCATTAGCCTCGGATTACCTCTGTAATGGATGTGGTTGTTGCTTCAACGACAAGCAATTAGATCCTTTTTTCTACAGGCAGCCACTACTAGAATGACAGAAAGTTGTGATCAGAGCTGACAAAATATTAACAACACAAGTCAAGCACCAAAAGAGGCTCACTTGGCCACCCTGTTCTCTTTACCCCTACAACTACTGTCACGCTACCACCCAGATTGGTGATCCGCTGTACATCTAACGGAAAGCCAGAAGGGCAACCAAAATGAAAAGAGAAGAAATCAGGAGACGTCCGAGGCTGGTTGGTTCCTTTCCTGGCGATGGTCGATGGACGGAGATATCTGCCACCTTAGTTGAACACATTAAGAGAACATTTGGACTGTCGCTTCGTCATCAAAAGTGCCAGGGTGAATGATTGGCATTCCTAACACTGCCCTTGAACAGGAACTGTTCTACAGAAAAATTCAACACTTAAAACCGTTATATCGCCATAGAGTAAAACTCAGCTGCACAAGAGACTGCATGCAACATATTTGAAAGAGCCACACAGTCATTAATATGGTCTTAACAATGTCGTACCAGCTCCAAATATGATTATGATTTCTGACAGCTCGTCCCGAACAGAACCAACTGACATCATTCTGTTGCAGTGGACAGCCATGCCAAAAACAGAGAGAATTGAATAGCTTCTTAAGGGAAGTCCATAAGATTAATAGACATGCCTCATTGACAAGAATGACAATGAGAATACAACTAACCAGGCTCATCAAAATGGACTCTCTCTCCAGTCGAGAAGACGATATAGAAAATTGCAGAGACGAGATATAAAGCCGACGTAAGTAAAAGAAATCCTCTGAAGGAACCCGTGAGATCAACAAAAAACCCAGCTCCAATCGTTCCGACAATGGCGGCTAATGTTCCCGCAGTGTTTGACATTCCTACACAAAGTGCACATGAGTATTAATCCATAATGCCTTACCTTTCCAAAATATGTGGACATTTCAAAATTAGTTCAGAAGCAGTGGTTGGCCCATTGGAACTTAGACTCCATCCCAAAAGAGGATGGAAGGACATAAATTAGGAAATATGACTCAAAGCAGATCTCCTAACATACTCATAGTGATGCAGACTAATACATGTAACTGTAGTATTGAGGACTCATAAATTAAACGAGAACCACTGCTAGAAATAGAGCCCGTAGATACCATGTAAGACGCCGGAGTAGCGTGGTGCAATTTCCTGGGAGCAGGAAAGAATGAGACACGTTAGTCCAAATTCAAATACTTTAATAAGGCACTTGTTACTTTTGCATACATTTCTAGACTCACCTGAAGATTCACAAGAAAGCCAGAGTGGCTGAAAGATTTCAGTGCAACAGCTAGAGTGAGCCAAGCAGAAGCGATGGATGGGCTTTTTGCAGTTGTTAAGCCAACAAGAGCAGCAGCTGGTCCTATAAAGCCAATTGACTGCAAAGAAGCAATTGTCAATTTAGAATGGAAAAAGGTAACCTGCTTCTTTAAGTTGGCAGAAGCAACATTGTTTGACAATGGCACGGGTGGAAAATGAAAGGACCAGCAATAGGCTCAATAATGAAAATTGAAGCTCAAGTAGTTCTAACTCAATTGAATTAGGAAAAGAAAATTCCTAATTTAAGCAGGACATTTATAAGTGAATGTACCAAGGAGAACTGGATACATGATCAACAAGACAGTTTGACATATATGTTACCCACAAAACAGGGCAATTGACATGGTAAATGCAGATAATTAACGGAAAGCAAAAGAGATGAAACCTAATGTACTCAGATACCTGCATGATCTTACGAGTCAAAGTAACAGTAACACCGTTCCGAATTAACATGTCCGACCAAAGACCACCAAAGTAACCCATGAAAGCCATCACAGACCATGGCACAGCACTAAACCATGCCGCATGTTTAAGATCTGAATGATATACCTGGCATCACAGTTTACCTTCTTTAGTGATTCTGATTAAACTTCCAGTCTACTAGAATATTAAAATGTAGCATGCGGATTTTGAGAACGCAGTGACTTACTGAATTAAAGTAAATGGGCATCCAAGAAAGAATGACAAAGAATCCCTGAAAAAATACTTACACAAGTTAGTTCCAACACAAAATAAAGTTGAGACTTTCACAAGCTCAAGGCTTGAATCTGGCCATGGTGAATTGGTGATATGACGACACTTTAAGATCACAGAATTTGAATACTGTACTAATTGGGATGGTCAATAGTACCCAGCTGTGCATGGCATTAGCCACAATTAATGACCAAGTTGGCATTTTTGACAGCAACCGCCCAAATGGAGGTAGCCTCCAGCCAGTCTTGGGTCTCTCTTTAACAGGAGTGGTTTTCTGCATCTTGCTTTGCTGAATGTACTCCAATTCAAGAGTTGAAATCTGGGAACTTCTGTCTGGTGAACTTGATATTGCAGCCAACCAAACCAGCACCCAGAGAAATCCAGATAGTCCGAATATCACAAATGGCCCAAATGTACCCCCCTTGGACATGAGAATTGGGGATAGTGTGAGCCCAATGGCACAGCCAAGCTGGAATCCAGCCATAGCAATTCCAACAGCCCTGGATCGTTCTGTCTGCGGGAACCATCTAGCAGAAAAAAGTCGTATCTTCAAAAATTTAGCTTCACCATGCTGAAGTACAAGGGAGAAGTTGCTGGCTGTAGAGAGGTATAGCATCAGAAATTATGTATACCTCGCTACCATGTTATTCATGCAAGGAAGGGCTACACCTTCTGCAATGCCAAGCACAGCACGCATAGCTAGCAGAGCCCATAAAGAAGTTTCTGCAGCCCATGGAGTGAGAAATGTAGCCAACGACCACAAAGCTACACCCCACCCCATAACTACCTTTCCGCCATAGTAATCCACTAAGGTCCCTCCAGGTATCGGTGAAATTAGGTATCCCCACAGGAAAGACGACTGCCACAACAAGAGTAAGAAATCATACAAGAAGGTCACAAGTTTAATCCCACCAATGAAATATACGCCAGTACAAAAATGAACTTGAGGGGCAGAAAATAGTAATCGCGCAAACTTCTACCCGGTTAATTTCATCGACGAAAACAGATTAAGGATCACCTGAACGATACCAGAAAAGGACCGGCTCCACCCGTTAGACCTTGAAAGCGGCACAATTGCCACCGACATCACCACGCGATCGGCATTACAGAGCGCCAGCGCCAGAGCAAGCATTGCTACCACTTTCACTCTCTCCGACGTGATGAATTCCCTGAAACTCGGCGCCAGCAGCTCGCTGCCCTCCGGCGGAGAGCCGAACTCAGCACCATCTGGAGAAGCCCTAAGCCGCGAAGCCGATGAGACCGGATGAAACTCCACAGTGCGTCTTCCTCGCAGCTGGAATTGCGGAATCCCACTCGGCGACGAAGAGACGCATACTGTTCTTGACCACGAGGAATGCGCAAAGGTAGAAGAAACGAGACGGTCAGGGTTGAGGATTTTGCGGGGTTGCGAGGATGCGAGAAGGGAAGGTTCTGGAGGTGGGCGGATTGAGAACGACGAAGAATGCATCGTTTATGTCGGAGCGGGCAGCTGGCGAGAAGACGGGGAAGCAGAAGGACGGCAGCCGCCAGCAGCAGGCGGCGTATTTATGACGCCGGGAAGTTGTCAAATGACTGGGATACCCGTCCTCCTTTCCTTTCACACCATCATATATTTTGATAATCGATCAAAATGGTCATGAAAGATGTTCGGTAGCAAAATACGGCCACAAACTTTTGAGCACTTCTACTATGCTATATAGTATTGGTGCTTTAATGTACAACTTAAAGTTGTACTGTAACATTAAATGTATAAGTTTAGGTTGTACCATAAAGCAATTTGTACCATTATGTTATGGTACAACTTTACAACTTGAAATTGTACCATCACATAAAGGTACAAGTTCAAGTTGTACCATAAAAGAATTTGTACAAAAAGTATAGGTACAATCTGAAGTTGTACCATAACATAAATGTACAATTTTAAGTTGTACCATAAAGGCAAAAACCTATAGCATCAATACTATATAGCATCGTAAAATTTCTCCAAACTTTTAACATATCACAAAATGGGCACATAAGTATTGCAAACAAACAAACAATGATTTCGTATTGAAAAAATAGTTCACCTCCGAAACATTTGAGAAACTTGATAGGATGGTGTTAAATGTTAATGATGGATTTGGACTAATTTTTTTTTAATGGTAGACATTCTTCAGCCTAAGTTTAGGTCCTTAAACCCTCTTTTTTAAGGAGGATCTTAAAGCGTTGTGATTGGCTGAGTCAATTTTAGGTAGTTAGTGAGGAGTTATTAGTTAATTAGTTGTTAGGGGTATGTAGGGAATTATAATTAAATTAAAAACGTAACCCTAGTGAAGACGAAGTCTTTTTATCCCTCTCTATCAACAGAACCGTTTCTCTGTCAACACTCTCTCAAAACACCTTCTTCGACCGTCCCTTCCGCTTCCTTCTCCGGCCGGCCCTTCTGCACCCGCAAGCGTTCTCCGCCGTCTGTCCCGCAAGCGTTCTCCGTCGTCGTTCTCCACCAAATCCAAAGCCCAGCTTCCATTTCGCCATCTGCTCCCTCAAGCGTTCTCCGCCGTCGTTCTCCACCAAATCCAAAGCCTAGCTTTCGTTCCGCCGTCTGCTCCCGCAAGCGTTTTCCGATTATGAATGTTATTGGACTGCACTTTTAATTTTGTTGCATGGGTAGGGTTTTGAGTCGTTGCATGGGTAACCTTTTGTATTAGGATTTTTACTAATAAAGTTTATTATCAGTTTACATATTAACGCTTTGTAATCTTTTAAAGCTCTATGTTCAATGTTTTTACCCAGCCACTAGACAACAATTATAAACAAATCATTTCATTATTAACAATTTTAGGTTATGTTTGTAACTTTGTTCAATGGAATTATCAACGTTATCAATGTTTTATAAGGTGGTTATTAATGATCTGTTCTATGGTTAATCATCAATAGGTCTAATCAATATCAATTTTTTTGAATGCATGTTCAATAGAACACATATATGTTATTAATGGTTTATGTTATGGTTGTCAACATCTTTTTGTTGTGATTCTACCTTTTTTATATGTTGCAGGAATATCGAGAACTAAGAACACGTCACCTAAGATTGTTTCACTTCCACCTAGACACCAGTACAATCCAGCAGCTAAGAACATATGAGAATAATGAAGATAGCTAGAGTGAGTTGGACTATTGGAGATTGTTCTGCCTAGACACCAAAGAACAATAATGTAAAGTGATATCAATTTCTAGCAAAATGTTAATAATGTCATTAGAAGTCATTGTACGAGGTCATGATTGACTAGCTATGAACATGATGTGGAAATGAGAATCGTTAATAAATATGCTCTAAATCAATGATAATGATACTTACATCATTAATAATGTGGTATCTTTAATAATTTATTCATAAGCATTGATGATGGAAATATAAATCGATAATAATTTATCCAAAATTATTAATAATGTGATTGTCAAGAATTGATAAGTATACTAAAATTGTTAATAGTGATGGGTGATGATGAAATTGTTAATTTTTTTATATCATAAGCGTTGATGACGAAAACGTCAACATTTTTATGCCTCCTATTAATATTATACTATACTATTATTAACCTATGTAACATAATTATCAATTAAGTTGAACGAACATCAAAGTTCAGAGTATTAACATTTTTTGCAGCCTGATAATATTCTAATATACTATTATTAACGTTCAATCATAAACTTACTAATAATATAATTGAAGAGAATCAACTTAATGCAAATCATCATTAACAATAAAAAGGGGTCATTAAGGGCCGCTTTATTAACAAAAACTCGTTTTTTTCCAACGTAAGATCTTATACTATTAACGTTTTTTCAACCATAAGAGTTTATAATATTAATGTTTTTTAGCCTCCTATTAATAATATAATATACGAATATTAACCTATGCAACATATTTTTAATGAAGTTGAAAGATCATAAGAGTTTAGGCCATTAACGTTTTTTTTTTTTTGCTTCTTATTAATATTATAATATACTATTATTAACGTTCAAACATAGACATGTTAATAATGTTATGGAAGGGAATCAACTTTATGAAACTCATCATTAGTAATAAATAGGTGTTGTAAGTACCGCATTATTAACAAAAATTAGTCTTTTTTCAACGTCAACCATGCAAAACGAAGCAATAACATAAACCTACAAAAAAGATGTTTCGTATCACGAACCGTGGAGAATTTTCCATATTAATAAATTTTCGAGAAGATTAAAGGGAACTCTGCCCGCCACAAGCCTCCATCCGACCGATACCTCCTCACCTATAGTCGTACGTCGTCGGGGAAAGGCTACACCGTCGCTGATATGGCGGGATCAATGGTGCTCATATGACATCGGGATGGCGGTGACACGGCTGCCTTTGCCGATGGAAGTACTAGCAAGCATTGGCACGATCGCCGATCGAGGGACTGCCCGCGGGTGCCGATGGGAGGTTGGTTGCAAAATGGTGAAACGGTTGTTGGCGACTGATGGCGCGGGGGACTCAAGGAGAATGACAGAGAGGATAGTCTTAGGTTTTTTTATTATTACCTTTTTCCACTTCTTTATTTAAATATTCATTATATTAATGATGGTTATACAATACCAATTCTATCGTTAACTACCTATTAACAGCTAACTCCCTAGATTCAAGCCGGCCAATAAGAAAGCTTTAAGAAACTCCTTAAACTTATAGGCTTAAGGATTGGATCTGACCCGACATTCTTCTCTAGTTAGAAGGAAAAATAATCAACTAACCGCTTGGAAATCGGGTCAGATCCAGTCCTTAATCTCATTCATTGATGTCAAGATAAACCATACATGGGTGAAGGATTGGGCATTCACATATCATACGAATATATACTAAGTTGATGATTTAAAATATGTGTTTAATTGTGCTTTTGTGAAGAAAGAACCCGACCAGATTTACATATTTTTCCAAAATTTGATATTTTTCCAAAATTTGATGCTTATTGCGAATCATAACTTGTAAGGTGATTCAATTTCAAAGGAACTTAGTTGAGATGGGACTGGGAACAACAGTGGGTTAATTAGTTGGATAATTTGACATACTAATCATAATAAACCATTTAGCTACTGGAATTAAGACGGCAAATAGCAAACTAATCATACTAATCACTATGCGCATATGGGGGCTTTCTTTACATCACTAAGGCCCTTAAACAAAAGTACCTGTTCTAGTCAGTTGCAGGCTCAGCAGCAGAAGGGATTTGAGTCATTTTACTAATTAGTACCATTACAAGTTTACAACCCATGTTTTGAACATAAGTATTTTTGGTGGCTTTGTACTGTTCTCACTTCTCATAAACAAAGAGCTGCGGAACTTCAATCCGGGGAAAGCAAACAGTCTCCATTATTACTGAAATCAATCTCATCGTATCAAGAACCAGGTAGTTGCAGAAAAGTCATAACTCAAATATGCTTCTTAACAAGAAAGTGGATGCCTGATTCAGTTCCCGCTAGCATTCTATACCACTGAGTACAAATTCCATCCTGATGTATGTTCGCCAGCTAAACACAGGCGGAACTAGTCTGCACAAAGGCAGGTTTCGGATCCACGCTTAATTAATGACTGACTATATATGTAAAGATGACGATACCATCAAACCAGGTTAGCAGTCAATACAAACGCTATCGCTACTGGTCTCTAAAGCAATTGGCCAATGGTGAATTGAACTGCAACACGAAAGCTATGTCTATACATGAAGTCATGAACATCGAAAGTACTTGCAGTTACACTACATTCACTAGATTGGCCAATGAACAACCAAAAGGTTAGCAGACGAGTCATCCTTTCTCCAGGCATCTATCTTCAATTGTGATTTAGGCTAACAGCAAGAGATCCTACCACAACGGGGGAAAGTTATGCTGGTAGCACATCATGCAATGCCAAGACTCCGCATTTCCTATCCAGCAAACTGCAAAGTCATGTTTCAGCATCCGACAGAGAGCCTACCTGTGTTCCAAGCACGAAAAGACGATCAAAGAGCATAAGCGTTTTATTATCCCGGAGATTGAATTGAAATGTCAATAGATCACATCTTGCTGGGAAGTTTGCCGAACAAGGAATGGCGGCCCTCGGCTATCAACTCCCCACTCAGCTTGTTCTTCACCAGCACAACCGTTCCAGCGTAGCCGCCTTTCCGCCCCAACACTTTGGAGGTAATCTCCAACTCATCCTGCAAAATTGAACATCCGCGAGGAAGCAAGAACCATCATCAACTCCAAACCTACATTACATATCAAGAACGAGAAACTATGATCCTCAGTCCTCACGCACATGGAGCTTAGCGGTAGAGAGAAAGGAGATGGACATATCGACAGAGACATTCATGGGAAGACCTTCCACGTGAACCACCGCGCCTCCCACCTCATCGACCAGGTTGGCAATCGCTCCGGTGGCTAGCTTCCCGCTCTTGTCCTGCCACCGATGATTCATTCCCAATTCACGAGTGAATCAAAATCTCCCTCGTTTTGGGGAAAAAGAGAAAAGAATCAAAATTGCTAGATATGACATGACATGACAGGCACACGCACGCCCTAGTTCGAAGCGCTATCGGTAACTGGAAGGAGCTATGAACTATGTGAAAGGAAGAATCGGGGGCTTACGGTGAGGCGAGGAGGCACGGTGAAGGTACAAGAAACGAGGCCGGGGTCGACCCGGTCGACTCGGATGCCTCGTAAAGCGAAGTCTTCGTAGAAGCTGCACTCATGGCCGACTCGGTGAGGATGAATCACGAGTCGCGATACCCTGTTCGCTTCATCTTCGCTCGACTCCAGGAACTGCTTCGCCTTCTCCATTTTCTGTCTGTTTTTCTACCTTGTGGAGTTTTCTCTCCCTCTCCTCTTTGGCTAAGACCTAAGAGAAAGGAGACGAAATTATGGGTGGGAGGGGATTCTGAATTAGGGGTGGGCATCCAGTTCCGTAAACTGATCCGGACCAAATTGAAACCAAAATAATGTTATTCCCTTCAGAATTTGGAAGAGAAATAGTTCTCATTCGGAAATCAGAGTTCTTTCAACCGAATCGAAGTTCTGAGTTTCGAATTGAAAAACTGAAATATATGGACTGGGCTGTAATTGTCCAATATAATTAAAGTTTTGACTATTTTATGGTATTTCATATAGTTTTGGCTATTTTTATGACAATTTTTATTGTTTTACACCCAATGAACGGAAATTCTTAAGACTAATACCTATAAAAACATATAGTTTATGTTTTATGTCGATTTTGTTACTGGCCCAAATCTATATGACCATTTAATCAATTACCAATAAACGAACATCAAATATAAGATCACAATGACCAAAATAATTACATCCTACTTAACATGGATCGGTTCATCATGAAAGTTCCATTAAGCAATCGATGTGTTCAAAATTGTAGAGTTTGCGAAAGTTGTCATATTGGCAACCAGAACACCACACAAAAAAAAAACAAAAAAAAAAGATAAGTCTATCCTATCATTACTTGATCTACTGGCTAGGCCTACCCCTACCCCTTCGAAATGTGACATTGGTTCTTTTATGGGTGGGGGTGATTCGACCCCATTGTCCGAGAAAATGGTGGAAATGTCGGAGTAGGCATAAAGGTTGAACACGTTGAAGAGATACAATTACTAGAGATGATCCCTCGTTACCTATGATTGGGGGGGGGGGGGGGGGGGGGGGGGGGGGGGGGAATGTGGAAACAATGGAGTAAATGAACAATTTTCTTCGAATTTGTGGCCTCAAATCCAAAATGTACGCATATCTAAAACGACCACAAATGAAAACAAAATCAAATCAAGAAGAATGTACGAGTACATCTCGTATTTTTCTTCATTGAAAAATTCATTTCGAACGAAATTATTTACTTTGAGAAAATCCGGAAAAAATGGGTGCCAACATCGGGCTTAGATAATCTCCCGTTGAGCAGTCTATTCAAGAGTTCTTGTTTGCTTTAATTGAGTATCAAGGCTAGTCAAGGATTCTCCTCGGTATAAACGTCGAGTGAAACGGATTGTGGAATCAACTACCATTAATCTGGTTATAAACAAGGGGAAATTGATAACTAAGTGACATTTCCTTACATCTGAACTCGAATAAATTTCTCTTTGCTTTTTTAGTTTAATTCGCTATCACTCGAACTTGATTGCTAGATAACATATTAATACTGAGTAGTAATACATTTAGAGACACGGAGTTGATAATAAAATTAACTTCCACTATTTTGCATTCATGTTATTTGCTACACTTGGCCATTGATTTTGAGTTGTAGTTTTATTGAGTCAATAAGCAGGAAAGACAATATAAAGCTATGTCAAAAGGTGAAATTGGCATGACATGCACCATAAGCAATAAGAAAGGACACATTAGTCAATTTTACAGCAAGGTCGGAATCTATCTATGATTTTCTTGTCCTATGCGTTGCGATGGTACACCTCCTTGGAGCACTCGAAGTTGAAGAAGCGGAACGACTTGGCAGACTCCTTCATGAAAGAATACAAGTCTAACCAGGACATGGTGCCCACCAGGTCTCAACTTGAGAGTATGGAGATGAAGAGAAACGAGACCTTAACGGGGGTATGCCCAAAGGTGGAGGACTTTGGCAGCTCAGGTGGCTCCGCCTCCAACTGAAAAGGAGATGATTGACCTCTTTCTCAATGCCCGGATGAACATGCATTCTTTTCGATACAGTATGGTAGACTTCTAACCAAATGAAAGTCAATGGCAGCCATTATTCCTGAAACATCTGCGGAGCTAACCCCTCTCTCAATGACTTAAGAAAGAGGGGGGGGGGATCACTTATCATACCTAAAAGCAGCCATTTCTCTGAACTACGATACCACATCCGATTTGATTGAACTCACGGATCCAATCGCCAAGGAAAGGCCAGTCTACTGACTAGGGTTCAAAGAATTTACCTAACTAGAACTCCGCGAGTGAACGCAAAGAAGCAAACCAGACTAGACGGAAAGAACTCCGAATAAACAAAGCAAAAGCCCATCTGGCCAATCTCAAGCTGGATGAGAAGGCAAACCAACCCTCCGAAGAAGGAAAGAAGGATCGAGGATAGACCATCGAATTCTTCATGAAAGCGCCTTACCTTTAAGGATCAGTCGTGCCATTCGGAAACTGAGAAAAGAGGCTGAGAGTACTCTGCTCAGGGCGATCAGGGGTTTCCGGGTATTCGTCCAAGCCCATTCGCGAGATCCTCACGAGGCTTGGGCTTTTCCAGGGCCTAAAGCCAGACCTGGTCATAGCTGATAGGGGGCTCCGGTAGTCGCCGAACTCCTGGGACGCAACCGACCTTCGACCTCCACGGGGAGCTGCACCCCACTAATGAAGCGGGAGGTCGCCCAAAAGCATCGTAGAAAGATTGTCTAGGGGGATGGTTCCTCCTCTCCGTGCTCTTCTTCTTTTTTCTCCCCTCTCCCTTCGCCCTACGGGCTCATATATTCTAAACCTTCGCCCTACGGGCTCATATATTCTAAACCTCTCCTTCTTGTTCTAATTAAAATGCGAGCAACTTCGTTCCTTCGCCCTACGGGCTCATATATTCTAAACCTCTCCTTCTTGTTCTAATTCAAATGCGAGCAACTTCGCACCTTCTCCCTACGGGCTCATAATAAACCTTCGCCCTACGGGTTTATTAGAGGCAAGTGCGCTGCAGCTTTGCTTTTCTTTCTTTGCTTTTGGTGTTTGGCTTTTGGAATTAGAAAGACAGCAGGAGCAAGGTGAAGGACGCTGATTGCAGACTCCGGACAATCTTGGGCTGAAGAAAACTGAAGTGGGCTGGGTTGTGCTTAAGTTAGCTGAAGTGGGCTTGTGGTCCGGTTAAATCAGTCAACATATATGGAGTGACACAGCAAATAAAGCAAGATCGTGAGTATTTCCACTACAGCTCTTCCACACCATTTCCAGCTTCCTGTGAATCATCATTCACCATCATCCTCGTCACCTTCATCATCAGCTAATGACAAAGCTTGGAATTTGTTGGTACGGCGGCAGACCGTAACAGTGTTAACATTGTTGTTACATTGCTGCTGATGCTGATGCTGATTCTTGAGCGTCGACTTCTTCTTATTGGCTGGTTTCCACCCTGCCTCCACGATCGACAAGTTTTTGTCCTTGCCCTTATTAATCTCATGATCATTCTCTTTCTTCTTCTGTACAGAGACATTCCTGCATTCAAATTCGTACATACATGATACGTATACCACCGTAAGATAATTAATCAGAAGCCTAAACCTTGATGATAGCTACCAAATTAACTATTAAGTTCATTCATTACCATGGCACAGGGAGGAACCAAAAGTAGTTGTGTTTAGAAAGCGGCTCGCGTGCAAATCTTTCCATGCTTTGATCAGAAAGATTGAAAACGCCACATTCATTACGATTCTTATCATAAAACGTGAAGCCCTCTGCATACTCAAGATCATAACCACCATAATCGAAAGAAAACGCGAAATAGATACGATCCTCTCTGACTCCATTAATGTAGTTTGGTGCAGCAGCGGGGAGGCAGAGTGACTCGTGGGAGTATCCCAGGAACAGAGCGTGCCCATCCAAACTCCTCACTTCCTCCCAATCATCATAAGAACCACCAATGTCCGGCAGTTTTAGCTTGTATACCTGGAAATGATGGGTCGTGTCGCGGCTAGAACGTCGATGAACGAGGAGGAGCTGATCATCGTTGAGGCAGGACAAGTGGGAGAAGATGGTGGTGCCATAGACGTATGAATGGCTGGATGTACGCAATATAGTTGAAGCGAAGGGTATTGATTTGACCACGATACTAGTAGCAGGGTCTTGTTGGGTTGGGTTTTCGATGGCGTGGACGCATTTATAGTCCACCAGGTAGAGTTTGCCTCCGAAATAGGAGGCGTCCTCCGGGTGCGGGAGAAGAAGGTTGGAATCTTTCTCCCGCGTGAATTTCCAATCTCGTTGTTCTCTTCTGAGTACAGAGCCCCCCACCTTGCACCAGGCCAGCTGCCGGATGTCATTCAAGTTGACGAAAAGGATGACATGGCAGTCGTCGTCGTGGTGGTGGCGGAGATGCGGGGACGAAGTGATGATAGCATGTTTAACGCTGCCCAAGGTGATGGTGGTGCCGTTGATGCTGGTGGGAGTTGGTGGCCGGCGGAGGGGAGGCAGAGTGATGAATTCCCTGGTGATCGGGTTGAGGAGGTAGGGTCTGACCGGTTTGGGTTGCGGTCTGAATTCGACGACGAGGACCCACCCGTCTTTGGAAGCCACGCACGGGTTGTTCCTCGGCCTTCTTCTCCTCTCTTCCATAAAAATTTCAAAGGGGTCTAAACCCACGCGTCGGTGAGTGATGGGGCGGAAACCGAGCGGGATTGTGACGCGCGGCGGAACCTGCTGCCTTCCGGTTGATCTATAACTCGTCGTCGGGGCGACGAATTCGGTCAGTGGCTTGAACTCATGGGAGTCGGGGTTGCTCTTTGGAGATATAAGAAGGCCGGGGAGGCCTTGGCGGCGGAGGGTGTAGTCTCGGAGAGCGGCGGATCTCCATGATTTGCAGACGCCGGAGAAGGGGAGGAGCTGGGAGAAGCAGTGCAGGTGATCTTTGACGATATTCGCCACTATGTCTTCTGGGAGCTGCGAGTAATCCTCCATCAAATTCAAAATCCCTAATTCCCGTAGAGCTATTTGCGTAAGGTGAATATTGCGGGATAGCTAGAGTCGATGGCTTTTCTCCGCAGCTACCTATAGCCTCTACTTATGTACTATCACTATCTAGGGTTCCACAAGAAAGGAAAAAAAAAAAGAATTTCCGGCCAGATCGGTTTTCTTAGTTAGGAGTTAGGACGTTCCCACTCCCAGAATATTATTTTGAGTAATTATTCTTGTGAAACGGGTTAATGACACAAATATTGTTTTTTTTTAATTTACCACTAATATGGCCAATTAAAAAGTATTGATACAGATATTATGTTTTAGAGATAAGAATCGGCGAGGCCACCTGAGACTCAGGCGCTGTCGCTTTAGCTTGGTTTTTGGACCGTTTTATTTAGTTGGCAGCGGCGGCGCTCAAGACTCAGGCGGCACCGCCTGAGACCTAGGCAAGTAGATGGGAAATCATCCTAGGCGGTGGCACCCGAGACTGAGGTGGCACCGCTGGCTTATTGCTGGCCACCCACCTTATAAAACCCAGACAATTTCGTTTCAGATTCACACCACAAAAAAAATCGTCCAAAATAGAGGAGAGAGCTCTGGTTGCTGCTGCAAAAATGGCTAATAGGTAAGAGACACATTTATTTTTGTAATTATATTATTCAAATGCTATTATGATTGTGTTTAGTTTTAATTAGTGAGTTTGTTTTTTTGTAGTGATTTTAGAAGATTTGAACTAGTTGTTCGGTGGAAATCGGAGAAAGTAGAGGATAATTTGGGCGTCAAATTCGTTGGTGGTAGTACTTTTCAGTTGACGGTTCCATCTAGAGTCACATATCACAAACTTTGTGAGAATCTAATTCCGAGAATACGGCGCAGAGACGAAGCAGTAAAAGATAGTGATGTGATCACAGGTTTCACTTACCGTCTTCCAGAATGGCAGAATGATCTTTTATTTCATTATGCGATACCTATTGTGGATGATGATAGCTTGAATGTGCTTTGGAATTTTATGGCACAAAATCCTTATTGTTTGGGTGCTGAGATACATGTTGAGCTCAGTGAGGATCAGGGTGGAGAGGAAGAAGATGATACATGGAGCGTGCCATCCGATCATGACTATGATGACGGTGATGACGGAGAGGAGGAAGATGAGGAGGAGGAGGAGGAGGAGGAGGAGGAAGGAGAGCAACTTAATTATCCTCCATATTTTTACTTGCAGGGTAATGAAGAGGACGAAGAATTATCACTTGCTGATTCATATGGCGTAATTCCAATGCCTATTGTTGATAGTTTTGAAGGAGAATGCTACAAGGGGCAGATATTTCACTCGAAACAAGCTGCATAAATGGCGATTAAACACCACGCACTACAACGCAACTTTCAATATGGCGTGGTGGAGTCGTCACCTTCAATATGGAAGGTCAGATGCTTGAGGCACAAGGATGACAATTGTCCTTGGATGGTGCGGTTTGGATGTCGAGAGGTTGGGGGCAAATGGACAGTGAGAAAGGCTGAGTTGGTGCGTTCTTGTAGCAGTACGACTCAACCGACGGATCATCGCCATCTTGACGTCGACATGATATCTGAGGCCGTCAAACATTTGGTACATGCCCAACCAAATCTGAGTGTTCTAACTGTTCAAGCCGAGTTGAAAGATAAGTTTAATATGCAAGTTACTTACAAGAAGGCTTGGTATGGGAAACAAAGAGCATTGGAGAAGTTGCATGGAGATTGGGAAGAATCCTACGATTTTTTGCAAACATTCTTGCGGGTGGTCAAGAGAAAAATGCCAACATCGGTGATTGATTGGGTAAGAGTTCCTTCGACTCAACCAGGTCATTCAATATTTTAGCGAGTATTCTGGGCTTATGGACCTTGTATAGATGGATTCAAGAATTGTCCAGGCGTCATGGTTGTGGATGGAACATTTCTTACTGGGAAGTATAAAGGAGTGCTACTCATGGCGAGCTCATTTGATGGCCGGAAGAAGATTTTTC